ACGGTGTTGTCTTGGCACACGTTGGTTCGGGTGGATGTGGCCTTCAGGAACCATATGGTCGGCTCAGCATCCCTCCAGGAGCGGGGCAGGAGCCTGGTGCCACCGTCAGCTCCTTCCTTCTGCACGTGCTGGGGCTGCAAGAGAGAGCCCCTGTGCAACCGCTTCAAAACAGACTCTTCGCGGCGAAGGGCAGTGCCTCTGCTCCACGCCGGCCCCTCTCATCCGAGGGGGGATGCTGCCTTCCATCAAGGTGGGCTTACACTTGCATTTCAACCGCTTCACCCTTTGCCTGGCAGAACTCTGCACCTGAAGTCAGCTCCTTCGCCCCATCTGCCCTTCCCCGCTCCTGCTCTGTGCCCCCAAATCTGCCTCTTCTTCCTTCTCTGTGGTGGGGAGAGGAGCCCTGCAGGGACTGCCGGCTTCTGAGCGTCACTTGTCCAAAAGTGAAGGCAGAGACCCCGCTCCTGCTTGGGGACAGACTGGGACCTGCAGGTGCTGACAGGTTGGGCCCTGAGCACCTCTGCCTGCTCAAAGCCTCACTGGCTTGACGGCACGGCTCTTCTCCTGGCTTTTCTCTCTTTGTTCCTTGAGCTACAGCCCCGTTTTTCTTCCCACCTTGTCTCCTCTCAGCCGCCCTTGGCTCTCTTTGCTTTCTGATCTTCCTCCCGCAAGGCTGAAGCCATCCTGACGGGATGCCTCCTGCGGCAAGTGGAGTCTCCGAGCAGCCATGGAGGTCCTGGTCCACTGCCGGTGTTGGGGCTCATCTCCAGAGGCTCCATCCAGCTGCAGTTGTGATGTGGTGCTCCTGGCCTGGCCGGGCTGGCAGGAGGAGGGCAGGGAGGACCTGGCTCTTAGCCATATTCTGCTTGAGGCATGAAGGTGCCGATGGCTCTGCCCCAGCATCCCTGGACCGCGGCAGCTGGTGGGACGAGAGGTGCTGCAGTGAGGACACAACATATCGCCTGGCGGGTGCTTCATCAGTACAGAGCAGCGGGGAGGATGGCCGCGGCGGGAGGGAGCGGGGCGGGGGCACAGACCAGCCAGCGTGGTCCCTCCTGCGGCACGCGCGTGACGGTGATGGAGCAGCAGGGGTGTGAGCGCGGCGGGGGCCCGCTGCAGTTACCCCTCAGGGCCCTCTGTCTTCAGCTGACAAAATAAGCCAGAGTTGGAAATCTCCTGTCGTAGCAGAGCGCAGGCAAGCTCCCGGCACTGCGGGGGCCTCAGTTCAAAGGCAAGAGTCTAAAGAAAAAAAAAAGACCATTTTGCAGGTTCCTGCAAGACACCAAATTTGTGCCAGGGTCCTGCCAGTGTCACGTCAGGGGAGGGTCACCTCCAGCACGGAGTCAGGGCGTGGGGGTGGCTGCGCCTGCCAGTGAAAATGAAAAAGCGGTGGAAAGCGCAGTGCTCTCCGGTGAGGCTCGTCCGGCCCCGGGGCGATGCGGCAGGTCTCCCACCCATCCCCCCCCGGCAGCATCCCAGCCCCGCACCCTGTGCGCAGCCTTGACAGGTAGTTAGAAACGCTGGGAGAGGGCCGCGAATGGCTGCGCTCCCGCCTCGTTTAAGCTCCTACATAGAGACATGGAAGAAGAGATGGGGAAAGTCTCTTGTCCCTGCTTGCTTTAACAACGAGACGAAGCAGAGCAGGTTGCCAGCCCGCGGGCTGCCCGGCTGCTCACGCCGCTGCCGCGCTGCAGGGAGCGGGGTGTCCCTCCGCGGGCGTTCTTTACTGGTGAAGGATCCTGGGTGCTCGTATCTTCAGTGCTCCGGTTTCCCATTCAGCCAAGGCACCGTAACCTCCCGCAGACAGAATGTACCTTAATTGGGCAATCTCTGCTGCACACCCATTTATAAAAACGGCCCGAGCGTTCCCCACCGACGGGCTCTGCAGTGCCCGTAGCAGGGTACCAGCGCTAATGATAATAACTGGTTTTTTTTCTTTTTTGGCTTGGATGTAGCTGCAAAGTTGTTCTTATGAAATTAAAATGATAAAAGGTTGCATACGTGGAATCTTCATTCTTTGAGGTTTTGAACTACCATATATTTTCTATATACAACCCTGGAGCAAATCACATCCTCAAATCAATAAAGCACTGTGTCGGTCAATACTATATCATAGCATAATTTTAAAAAATCAAGCTTGAAGCAAAAGGAGCTCCTACAGCTGATTACTCTCTGCAAATTTTGAAATCGTATTGAATGTTTACTTCCATTTTGAGGCATGTTGCTTCCTCCAGGCTCCTTCCTCCTGCGTATTGTGAATCTCTGTTTGCAGTGACGGTTTTGCATGCTGAGAAACTGCTCTGTTGCTCTCTCTTGCAGCAGCTAGGAGAGGAGGGATGCTCGGCCTGGGAGCGCCGCAGCCCTCCCCGACGCCCCGTGCTCTCATCGTGTCCCTTTACTGTCTGGTTGTGTGTTTCAAGCGCGTTAAACTGGTGTTCTTCTGTTCTTGCCCATGATGCGGGGTCGCTTCTATTGTACAGGGGCTGCCGCTGCCTGTCTGGGTGTGTATTCCTCATCGGCGGCGGCTTTAGAAACCGGTGCGGAGATCTCGAGCGCTGGGCACGAAGCCCGGGGACAGCACACCTCTCCTGGCCGAGCGCCCTTGGGTGCTGCCACCGCTCGCTCGCTCGCTCGCTCGCGCTCCCCCCTTTACTGTGTTTAACTCTGTGCTTTCCGTTTAACAGAAAGACAAGCGAGACACTTCCAACTTCGACAAAGAGTTCACCCGGCAGCCGGTGGAGCTCACGCCCACGGACAAACTCTTCATCATGAACTTGGACCAGAACGAGTTTGCTGGATTCTCCTACACTAACCCCGAGTTTGTCATTAACGTGTAGTGGCGGCGCCGCCGCCGCCCACCCTCTCCTCGCAGTCCGAAACTCCAGATCGCCTTGTACATACCGACACTAGTCTTCCGGGATTAGCAGTGCAGACATACATACCCTCACGCAAAACACGCCGACCGCTTGTTTTAGGAGGCCTTTCTATGTCTGTGTCACTTGCTAGCTTGGTTTCCCTAGCTGGAGATGTTTGGGGTTCGAGTTAACAGTCAGTAATGCTTCTAGGAACTATAGTTGGTGGTGACTAATAGAGTTTTTAAACAGAAATATACCAAATTGCTACAGTCTTTGTAATTTTTGAAATCAGATGCTGAGATTCCAGTGACCCTAGCTACTCACAAATCGTTTCTGTTGAATGCTAAGCATGGTTGATATCTTAAACCGTTGTGCTGAAGCTTGCGATGACTGTGAGCTTGTCTTAGAGGAGCCTTTTGTTCAAGACATGGATACATTTGATCAGTGTGGAAAAGTCTGCTTATAGACATATATTTTTAAATGCATTGTACATACCGTCAGCCTGGCACACCGAAGCCGTCTTCCTCCCTCGCCTCCCACAAGCCTGCGCCTCGCCACACGTCCTTTCCTACACTCAGGCACTAAGACTCCAAACAAATTCCATGCCAGTTCTTGTAAATCAGAGCAAATCTTTTTCTAAGTGAAAGGTGGGATTTTTTTTTAACATCTGGAACAGTTTGCAGTTTTGATACACTCTGTCAGCACTCTCATAAATCTTTCTCCTGTTTTTTCACAGACACTGTCGAAATTTAACAGCTCTGTAAAGGATATTAATATTCTACCAAAACAAAACACATTTATATTCTCGGTTTACAATTTACCAACTGAAAATATGCCCGCTGCAAAAGGGCTGTACTGAGGGCTATTTATAAAGGTATCTTTTCTACTTTATACCCTCTGCTATTATCTTAAAGGCTCAAACCCCATGAATTTTACAGGCATCTTGATTTACCTGATTTCAGCCAGAATTCCTGGGGGTTTTATTCAGCAATCCAGGACCTTCTTCATCATTTCAAAAATTCTGAATCAGAAGAGGCAATTCCAGCAGCTACTTGTAAGGCCGAGCCGCACCGTGCGTGCGGCAGCAGTGCCATGCGGGCGGGCAGGGGCTGCCTGTCGGCGGCCGGCTGGCGACTCTCGCTCGCTGTTGGGTTCGCAGCAGGGTGAGCCCCGAGTGTGAGCATCCTTTGAGTCCCTGGCTGTTACCCCTCTCTTATTGCACACCCGCTTGGTTGGTTTGCAAAAAACCCCCACATGTATGTTTTCTGAACCACTACCAATTCTAATGTAAATACACATTACTCCATGCCTATAGGGGAAAATGGGGGTGGAATTTTATGAATCACGAGGAATCCTATAAAGGAAATTCTGGTTTGTAGATCTTTTATAAACATCAAACTCTACCTTTTGAAATTATTTTCTTCTTTTAATGATTCCTCGAGGAAAAAAGGCTGCTAGAAGCTAAAGCTGATGTCCCGCCTGCCTGGGAGCGGGCGGCCGGGTGTCCTCGCCCCGTTATTAAATTGCAGCCAGGGTGGCGCCTGTGCGTGCGGGGGATGTGAGCTGTGAGTCCACGGTCTCAGGTACTGACCTGGGCTGGAGGAAACAAAACAAAACCCAAAAAACTGCAAATTGTGCCAGATTGCCAAGAGGGTTTATGAGACGCTCTGCATCAGATGAAGCCCAGGGAAGCCTCGAGTGTGGGCTAGTTTCTGGTGAGGGTTCTCGTAACTCCAGCACACGTTTCAGAAGACGTCTCGCCATCCTCTGCAGACCACAGTTGATGTTCAGAGCATGTACGTTACTGTAACTTTCAAACCTGTTGCTGCAGAATTAGTATTACTTCAGTGGTGAATGTTTTTAATTTCCGTATCTTCAGCTCTGAAGCCGTTCCCAGGGTCTGTCCAGGATGTTGCTGTAAGGTCTCCCGTGCCAAGGGGCACCCCGGGGCCGCGGTTACACGCAGGGGCTGCTGTGGGGGGAGTTAAGTCTTTTCTGTTTGGGACTTCTGCGTATGTGTTGGGGTGACACTTCTGCATGGAGCAGGCGTTGCTGAAGCACCGAGCGAGCCGGGCAGCCTCGGACGGGGCCCCGCGGGGAAGCCGGGCCAGCACGTGGCCGTGCTCAGCTGTGCCACCAGGCAGCTTCGGTGGCATCTTCGGGATCTGCAGGGTTAAGATCCATGCTCCAGGGAGACCTTAGCAAAGGCTAGGTCCTGTTTGCAGGACTCGTACCTTGAGCGTTTCTGATGTTGTCCATTCTGCTACTTGCCAAACCCTTATTTCAAGGTTTATTTCCAGATGACCTGTTTCTTCTGTGGAGAAATGTAAAGTGGGATATGCCTGGCCCTGCACAGACGTTGAGATTTGTACAAACTCTTCCAAGGAAGGGCAGAGTGACTGTGGTTGACTCACCGTTCGCTGTAATTTGATGATTTAATCTTCACTATTGGATGGGGAAAGCAGTGCTTCAGGAGGATGCTCAGAGCTGAGAGGCTTCAGGAGAGCCCCGTTAGTCAGTCCCCGGGTGCTCTGATGCACGGATAAGGCCCAGTAAAACGATACGAGCGTGCTGCCAGCATGCAGTGCACCCAGCGCTGTGCGCAGCAGTGCCGTGCTGGGGGGACAAGGGGACAGTGTGAGCGAGCAGCGGGTGAGGCAGGAGAAGGATGCTCAGGGGACAGAGGAGGCATCTCGGCCTGCAGCTACAGAGGAGAGAAACCCCTCCCTGGCGCTTGCGGGGTGCACCCTGATCGCTCACCTGTGTGCTGGAGGGGGTTTAGCTGCAAGTCTGGTGTCCCACACTGAGCAAGCTGGCTGCGGTGGGGTCCAGCGGTGGCAGGGTGGGACCCAGAGCCCTGCACCTCCCCAGGTGAGGCAGGAGGAGGGACCGAGGAGGCAAGACATACGCTCACCCCACCCCAAAGGGTGGCAAGTTGGGACTCTTTCTCCCAGGCTGGATTACACCTGAACGCTGCAGGTAAGTGGGGTTCAGGCTCCTCAGGTGGTTCCCCGTGGGGCAGGATGGATTAGACAATCCCCCCCCGGGGCTGTGTTGGCCCCTTTGCCGCTGGTCAGTGGCTGCAGCCGGGGCTGGGCCGGCTGCTCCAGGCAGCAGAACCTGCACGGCTCCTGCACCCAGCCGGGGCACTGATCAGCAGCATGGGCTTTGCAAAGGAGACCGCGTGCTGTGTGAAGAAGACATGGGGCAGGAGGGCTGAGGCTCCTGGAGGTGAAGAAATAACCGCTTGCATTTACCCACTGGCTAAGGATTTCTTTCCCAACGCTAGTATTTGGAAATACGCCAGGATACCTTGGTGCAGGAGCAGATTCCTATTCCTGACTGCGGGGATGTTAGGGCTGCAAATGCCGGTGCTCCCTGGGCATGCCCTAGTCTTTCACTTGGACATTTTGCCAAAGAAAAGGAGAGAGGACTGCGGCCGTTTGTCCAGGCCTTCTGCATTCCTGGTCTAAAGCGCAACCCTGCTTGAGCCGGGGAGCGGTGGGGAGGCTGCTGGGTGCCTGCAGCCGTGGAGTGCTGCTGGAGAGCTTGCATGGCACACGGGGACAGTGGAAGAGCGAGGGGAATGGGGGAAAGCCTGAGCAGGGACCTGTCTGAAGTCAGGGGCAGAGCCAGGGCTGGCTGTTTGGGCTCAGCCTGAGGAATTGCCTGGGCCTGGCGGTCTGCAGGGTCTGCAGCTGTGAGGCTGTAGGCAGGCAAGGGGGCAGTGGAAACCCTGATCCGCTCCGACTCTGCGGTCCTACCGCTGCACGTGGCCGTTTGGGATACAGCCGGTCCCGACCCAGCCATCACACAGCAGTTCAGGGCGAGCCTGTGCCAGGGCTGTCAGCGCAGCTGCACGGCCCAAACGTAGCTGCTCTCCAGGCAGCGCGGGGAGTGCGATGCCATTTGCACGTGGCAAGGGGCACCTGCTGCTGCTGCTCTTGTCTCCCCTGGCTGGACATCTGAGCAGCCTTCTCTTGGTAAGAGAGCCATCACCAAAGGAGTTCTTGATCCATTTAATCCATTTAAGAAATAAATGCAAGTTTGCATAGTGGTCAACCCATATAGGTAGTCTCAAAGATGGGAAGATGAGCACACGCTCTGGGCAGTAGATACGCTCTGATGATTGTGAATCCCAGGAGCTCTAATACAAGTGAAGAACTAGGGTGGTTTCCAGCGCAGAGTGCAAGGATCTAGCTGTTCAAAAGGTAGGGCTTACATCTGGAGGGTGGAACTAACTCCTAGTAACAAGTCCTGCAGCTTCCCTGCTTTTGCAGAAGCAGGTGAGCCACTGAGCCTGCAAGAGCAAAAGAAGCAACGAGCATCTTGCTCCATGCATGGAAGTGTCATCCAAGCTGTTTATTTCTGATCACGTTCAAAGTGGCAATTAAAACAAGGAGGGGAAAAAAAAAGAAAATGTTTATTGTTGAACAGTTTGTGTTTGTGAATTTGATTTCACCTGCAAGTATTTGATGACTTTTCTACATCCTAGACTACCTGCTGTGTGTCGTCAAAAGATTCTCATAAAGACCTCCTTTTAGATGGGCGTATACTCTTTATTCTATTTGCTGCATGTATGAAAAAATAAAATATATAATTTTAAAGAAACCCGGAGAGCTTGACTTCCTTTGCCCACGAGACTCCGGTGGCGTGCAGGGGGAGGGCCAGCGGGCTGGGCAGGCCATGGGATCCCCGGCAATCGGCAGCTGGTTCTGGCTGTTGGCCACCTGCGTGGTCACCCGGAGGGGCCCCGCCGAGCCCGGTTGCAGCTGCAAACACTGAAATGTTGCAGCTTTTCTGTAAAAGAGATTCTTATCTGCACAGCTAGAGAATATTAGCAAATGGAGCCTGCCTGAATGCAGGGCCAGGACTGGAGACCTGCAGCTGTGGCTGCGCTTAAAGATAGGGTATAGACCAAGGGGGAGGGAAGGTATTGGTTGGTTGGATCTTCAGTTAATTGCTAATTAAGATGAGTTCATTAACACTATTGCAGATGCTCTTCCTACCACCCCATGAGCACTGGTTCCCAGTCCCTATAACTCACGCAGGGCTCGCGGGGGACGAGCTGGCTGGCGCCAGGGAGGTTGGGTGCCGGGCAGGCCTTCTGCGGGCGCTTTGCGTGCCCTTGTCCTGCCGTGGCAGCGAGGGCAGGGGAGCAGTGGGCTCAGAGGGCTGGGGCTCTGCGAATCCCCCTGCGTCTCCATGTGCTCCTGCGGCTGTGAAGGGTTTCTGGCCGAGTGCACCATTATGCAGCTTTCTGCTTGCTTGCACGGAAAGCTGCACGGTGCAAACCTGCTTTTCTCCATCGAGGAAATCTGCTTTTTTAGGAAGTGCCCTTGTGAAAGCTGGTGAGCATGTCAGGAAGGGCATTTCCTTCT